AAGGCTTGAATTCTTTTTTTTTTAATTTTTCAATACAAAATTACTTTTTTATTTTATGTTAATAAATTCTTAATTTCTTTTTTGAATATTACCAAATAATAATTTAATGAAAAATTTTAATTTTTGCTTGATAATTAAAGTAGCATATTTAAATTGGGCATTCTTTTCAAAAAAAGATTTTTTATTTTATTTTATCAAAATAAATATTTACATGCTAAAAAAAATTACATATTTTTAAATAAATATGCAAGATTTTTATGTTTATTTAATGCTCCATGGTTAATTTTCTTAAGAAAAAAAAAAAAAACTATCTTAGCCATTTTGTTCTTCTTATTTTTTTCACAATCTAAATAAAAAAGCTACAAGCTCTTCGTTTGATTTTATGAAAAAATGTTAAAAACAGAAAGTTCCGTATTTTTAGAATTACATGTAAAATACAATTTAAATTAAAACAGCAGGCAGTTAGATTTAGGGCTGAAATACCAAAAACTGTCCAATTAAAGTAAAAACTTTGTATGACCGTCACTCTCTACAACCATTGCCTAATCGCCTGCTTCATCAAATAGCTCACCATCTCCGACTGCATCACATATATATCATAAGAGCCCCCACCAAGGATTCACATTGAACAAATAGCAATATAATAAGAACTTAAATGTATTATTTTTCCACTTTCTTTTTCTTAAGTGCATCTGCTCCTGCTCCTGCACCGCAGAATGTCCCGTTCCAACACTTACAAAAATTATTACGTCCCTCGCCCGGAAATTGAGCCACATTCGGGCGACCTCCGCTGTATCACGACTGTCGTCCGGACGCAGCATGGGGCACCTAATAATCTGTCCAGCACTCGGGACACCTTCTCCCAGAAGATTTGAACTCTTCGCTGTCGCACCACGTGTCCGGCGTCTTCCCTGCTAAGAGCTTCACGGGCACTACCAGACCTTCCAGGGGGCAGGGAAATGATTCTCACAATTTTTCCCATGCTACTCTTTCCAAATCCCTCAACCAATTATGGGGATGTATTTATAAAGATCTTTATTATCCTACAAGCACGCTGAAGTCAGCATCCTCTTATTGGCAAAAGGAACAATAAGCTAAATATAAATTAAGATGTTCACGTCATTCAAATATGAGATTTTATACGGCGCCGTATTTTTGCATTTTTATATTATACGCAGGTCAGGTAAAATCTGAAGAAATTTCGTGAATCAGAGCTTATATATCTGACGTGTTTATTTTATATCTGAACAAAATTTTCTTAACAATTATATGTGTTGCATAAGAAGACTTATTCTTTTTTGTATCGGTGGATCTTCTTACAAACAAGTCATACATGTGATTAAGATATATTGTGTAATATTTTTATTATATACCTCTCACAATACTATATGTTGAGAATTTTAGGGCTCAGAAAAGTGAGAACCAACGTAAATTAAGAAGGAAAATGACTCTGAAAAATTAAGAATCTGCAACGTCATTATGTTGTGGTGCCTTGCGCACTGAAAAATGTCTCTTAATCTCATGCTCCTCACAAAGTTTTTGAAACTGTGAATTTGTGCACTTTGTGTAATTATCAGACATGAGATACTTGTTCTTTCTGCCAATTTGGTTCTCCAGCTCGGCTTTTCACACCTTGAATTTGGATAATACTTCATATTTCTGTTTCAAGAAATACGTCCAATTTTTCTAAAGAAATAGTAAATAAAAGTAACAAAATACAGAGATCCTCTCAATAACGATTCTCTCGTATGACCCAGTACATCAAAATGCACCTAATCAAGAATTTATTCAGTTTTGTTCTTTACAGTTATGAAACTGAATCTAGTCTTTTCCAAAAACACAAAACTTAAAAAAGTCGAGCTTACACCTTTTAACACCATGCAACAGATTTTTTTTATGCAATTTCGCCTTCCCACTTTCACTAAGAAGACAAAGACGCATGTGTTGTAGTTTTGTATTAACATCATATGACTCTACAAAATTAACTTCATCTGCAACTGTACTCCCCAACAGTTTGTAGATATTTCTTGTAGTTAACCTTTCTTTCACACAGTCAGTGCATCCTTAACAATTTTGATGGTTTCTCTATCACCATCTGTGTTAGGAATAAAATCATTTCTATGTAAAGTGCCTAAAGAAATCAAATTTCTCTTCAAAGATGGAATATGTCTGACATAACATAATGTTCTAACAGTGTCATCATACATCTTAATCCTGACATCACCAATACCAACAATATTGCAATACCACCTAAATAGACAGAGTCAGAACTACTTCATGTTAGGTGTTTTGTGATAAAAAAACATCCTAAATCAATAATATATGCATCCATGAACTGAGTTGATGAAACTAAAAACATATCACCATCATTGTAATCTAAATTATTACTCTGTGTCACATTTATAGACTTGGATGATGCATCATCTATGTCCTCAGTCTACTTCTTGAGCTTTAGACAACTCTTTTCATATGAACCGACTCATTACACTTGTAGCAATGAATCATATTTATGTCTTTAAACTTTGATATGAAACTTTGTCTTCCAGAACCCTACTCTTTCTTCCTTCCACGATCCTAATTACCTTTAACATATAAATTATCACCATGATAGATTTCCCTTACATTATGTTTCTGTTGGTTGTTAGCCAACAATACTGCAGTAATCTCATCAACTTTGATTGTTTCTTTCTCATATGTAAGAGGTGTCACCATGTGTTCATAAGAGAAAGACAATGAACACAACATAATCATTACTCGATCTTATTCTCAATACTCACATAAAGTCGTGATAAATCTGTGATTATTTGATTGAAGACATTCACATACTGCGCCAGATCAAAACTTTCTTGCATCTTCAACCCATACAACTTTTTGTTTCAGATATAATTTATTTATTAGATATTTGGATATAAACTCAGTTTCAAATTTCTTTCATACCTCCCATGAAGATTTTAGATTCATTGTATGATACATAACCTCATATACTAGACATAAACATATAGTTGTTGTCATTATTGCAATTCTTCCAAATTTTCATCCTCCATGTTATTTGGTTTTGTTGCTCACAAAGTCTTCAAGATCCCTTGTTGTGCCAATAAATATCTCACCCTAAGTTACCAGTTCCATCAAACTTCACTATTTTGAACTTTGCACCAGCGATTGTCATCGTTGATTAGTCCCACCGTGATCTTTTCCTGTCTCGCGTCGTAGCCAAACTGTTGAACCAACGATTCTCTGTATCGCGCCAAATTCAAACTGTTGAAGCCCTCGTTGGTCACTGAATCCTTCGCGCGAACCGATCTTCGTGCGCCGAACTTCTCACCGCACAATCGCCTCAGCCTTTGCCAAACTCCTCTGTGTGATTCGTCGAACCGAACTTGCGCCAAAAACCTCGTCATTTCTACGCCAAACCGTCTGAAGCCCTAGCCAAACTTTTCTGCCAAATCGCTAAATCCTTCTTTGTCCTTCCTGCGCTAAACTCCTCCGTCTTATAACCTCGCTTTGATACCACTTGTTGAGAATTTTATGGCAAAGAAAAGAAAAAATCGATGCAAATCAAGAAGGAAACACGGAGATTTAATAAGGTTCGACAAAAATGACTACGTCATCGGGAGCAGAGCGGCGGCTTTTCCTGCTCTTATCCCGTGTACCGCACCATGGGTCGTCACCCCCCACCCCCAACCCACATAACAAACCACCCCCATTGGACAGATGCTTCCGCTCGCGAGCTCACTTCGTTCTGCTCCAGCATATGTCCCTTATCTGGTATATGAGTCACACCTATACCATACAATAGCATCATGTTATTATATATGTAGTATATTTTTTCTATATATATGTAAATCTCATCAGTAAAGCTCAATCAAAGGAATCATGTCTAAAGCCTGTCAACTCAATAATTGTATGTTAAAAAATTTATAAAAAAAAAAAAAGAACTGCTTTACAGGTGTTAATTAAATCCTCCTCCTTCGGCATATTTCAGCATAAATTATTAATAGTAATAAACACTCCTCCTTCGGCTGGGCATAAATTTGATAATAATATAGTATTTGATAATGTTGGTACAAGTCAAAAGTCCCATGCATGGAAGAGGTCGTCCCGCCCACCTTTTGCCGTTTTCTTTCTTATTTATGCGGATTGCCTTCTTACCCGCCGCACCCATGTACTCGCGCTGTTTTCTACTGAATATTATATTCAATTTTTAATGCTCTTTGCTCTCCAAAATTCCCAATTTGTCATTTCCCACCTTATCATTTATTCAATTTATCATTTCCCATTTTATCATTTCCAAATATTTCAAGTCGAAATGACATGAAATTGTTATTATATTATTATTTGGATGAGAAGAGATTGATAATATCTATTTACAAAATTGCTGTAAATAGCAAAAACATTTTTAAATTTTACTCATCTATTTTCATTTACTTAAGACATGAAAATAAAGTTCTTATTTTTTTTTTCTGAAAACGTCAAGTAAATATAAAAGGCCTCCGTACTGAACATAATCAAGGATTAACACTTGCAATTATATTGCTGCTCATTTGATGTAAATGAGATGGAAACTATCTATCTATTTTACATTTGTGATCTAACCATCATGCTTCGCTTCAAAATGCCATGTCTCCATAGTTGTAATTGTAAATAAAACAAAAAAATTGAAAATTACATACATAGCACACAATTCTTATGTATTTACGTATCTAACACCCAAAGTTCAACCTTCATGCTTGAAACAACTTAGTGGAATAAATTTATGCATGAAAATGTGTCTTTCACTCACTTTTATAAAAGATAAAGAGGGTGATATTTTTTATGTGATGTTAAAGATTTAAGTGGGATGCATGTAATTATGGATGTTTGGGTGTTGTATGCAAATACATATGAATTGTGTGGGATGTATGTAAATGCCCCTAAAAAAAAAAGTTAAGTAGAATCTTTTGTACCTGACATGTTGAAAGCAAATATAGAAATCAGCAAGAAATGAGAAGAAACTTCATCTGTTTAAGAATGTTTAAAGACCCATTCATTCTCTTTTTATTCATAAATTTTATGGACTCATAACAAAACAAAATCCCTCAAATCCCTTCTTCTAACAGCAGAAAAAAGCATTCAGGAACACAACTAAAGTTCATATATAGGAAGATCATAAAATACCTCTAGGAGCAGATAAATGGCTCATCAACAACATCATCATTGCAGTAAAGTCCAGGCCGCTGCTTGAATCCCTGCTTCGACAGCATCTTCCTCGCACCAAGCACGAGCTCCCGGTTACTTATACCGCCGTTGATCTGAGAAAGAATGGCCTGGATTGAATTGCTCAGAGCCCCATAGGCACCCTCACTATTCCCTGTAGGGTTAGCATCTGCTGAGGTCTGATCAGACTGACATCCACTGATCAGAATTCCATTATGAGGAAGCTTTCCCTGCTTCGTTCCAGCATAAACCTCTTCTTTTCTGTAAACTCTGGTTTCCATGGCCGGCTTCACATAGTTTTCATCATTCTCCTCCAGCTTGTGCTTCATGAATTGCACTGCAAGGCCTCCAACGAAGCCGAGGAATCCACCCTCGTTGTCACCCTCACCGCCGTGGCTTCCATGACGACGTAACTTTTGCAGTACCACCTTCATGAATTTCTTCACTTTAGGGCTGGCATCCTCGCCGAACATATCAAAGAGAGTCGGTCTGATGTTTCCCACATCAATGTTTTCGTTGCCAGTTTTCTGCTTCAGGATCTCGATCAGGATGGGGAGAGGGAGGGATCGGTTCTTGATGATGGAGTGCTCAGGTTCATTGGTGTCGTCGTCATCGTCCTCTTCATCATCGGCTTCATGATAGTGATGGTCACGATGGGTGTAATGGCTATCAATTCCACGGGATTTGAGTGCACTCTTTACTTTACGCTTGACGGTTTTTTTGAGGAAGGATGAGAGACTGAACACGGAGCCAGATTCATCATCATCATCATCGTCATCACGCTTCGTGCTCTCGCCAATCTGCTCCTTTGTGTTTTCGATGAGGCCACCACTGTGGCAGGAGTCGGAGATGATCGTCAACCTGCAGCCTTCAGGGAGTCCCTCCACAAACAGCCTGAAATCATCATCTGCACACAAGAGAAACACCCGCACAAATTTTTGCTTAATAAAAAAAAAGGGATAAAAGGCAATGCTGAAGAGAAGATTGCCTCTGCATCACAAGTAAATAAAGATCTCATAAAAAGCATATATGATATATAAAAAAGAATCATGGTGCAATCCCCAAATAAATTCACATTTAAAATGATGTTACAATTTTAAAGGAAAAAAAATGCTAGTAATTGGTTGCAATGGGAAAGAAGGATATAGGTTAAGTTGCAGTGATGAAAACTACAAATAAGAAGATTTAAGTGAACAAAAAGAGAATGCCTGTAAGTTTTGATCGACGCAATGATGAAGATTGTGTCTTTCAGAAATGCTAAGAGAATACTACAATATAATCTAACATTTGTGTAACAATTATACAATCATAACAGAACGACTAATAGGAAACATGTAAAATCATGGAAATAATTATAACCATGTACGAATTGATTAGTTGAAAAATAATTATCGCATAATCTCAATTAGGATGATGAGATAACATTAATAATCTGGTGTATCACTGAAATAACATGAAGTGAATAAGAGGGTAGAAGATTGTTGGAATCAGTGAAACATTACAACAACTATTTATTCCACTAAGTGGGGTTGGCTACATGGATCATTTTTCTCCATTGTGTCTTGTTGAGGGTCTGTTTGGGGCAGTTGTTGATTATTTATAATCTATTGAAAGCAGATTATCCAGATAATTTGATAATCTGCAGATTATCAGAATAAGCTAGTTTGTTGTTTGAGGCAGCTTATTCAGAATAATTTACTGAGAGCAGTTGTTAGATAAATGACCATTATGCCCCTTGTTTGATTAAGTTGTTTGCAACAAAACTAAAATAAGAACAGAAGTATATAATACATAACTCAAAAATCATCTTAGATCAGTTCAAAAGATAACATACAATGCTCACACTCTTGTGAGTATCAGAAGAAACAAAAAAAAATCATCAAATCTTGAAAAAAAACAACAAAAAGACGTGCATACGAAAAATAAAGAAAACATGGTGGATTAACTGCCATAGATATAATCTGCGATTAACTTCCTCAAAGCAGTCATCTCAGCCACACCTTCAGCGTCATGAACCCAAAATTCGTTAGAGTTAATCTCATCCTCATGGACTGAAGCTCAACCAAAAATGCTGATGGTTCTTCAAAGACATTCAGTTCATCGTTACCGGCCATACTAGAGTCTATATCTGAATGTGAAGAATGTCGTCGGATGAAATTATGAAGTGTCATTGTTGCCAACACAATACACACCTGCTTTTGAAATGGATACGACGACATATAACGTAAGATGACATATTTCTTCTTCTAAACCCCAAACATTCTTTCAATTACCCCGCGTGAAGAGGAGTGACATTTGTTAAACATTTCTTTCCTACCACGGATGATGTCACTTGCTCGCTCAAAATCAGGAATATGATATCTAGTGTCTGGATATAGCTTCAGGTAGCCCCTCGAGTATAGCTTCAGGTAGCCCCTCTGCATAGGATATCCAACATCAACCAAATAGTATTTTCCTGTTATGGAATACACTGTTAATGACAAATAATACATATAACTAGTACGTTTACAAATCAAATCATATCTGAAGGCGAGTGAGGAAAACGCTGTGATCTATTCCTAATTACATAGGAAAAAACCCAACTGTCATGTCTACTCCCTTCTCAGTCCGCCATGACAAAAGTAAAACACATGTTAAAGTCACATACTATCATGACATTTTGAGTAGTTGAATGCAAATTTTCCTCAAATTGTATATGCCTACAAAACTCATTTCACTAGAGTTGAATACAAATTTTCCTGTCGCGACAGCCCATTTAAACATTATGTTGAGTTTTTCTTCAAAGTCTGGGTCAATTTCGCACTGCTTATATTTCTTCGCTGACAGCATTGTCTGTGACATTGTAATGGAGGAGGGGGTTAAGTGGGTTTATTAGAGAAAAAATAAGTAATGTAAATCAAAATAAAAGTATGAAAGTGGGTTTATTACCTTCAATTTCTCAGCCCACCATTCATCCGGGGCATCGATTGTCAGCTCAATGGGATTCAAATCCAAACGGATACATCCACATTTGAGCTCTTTCCAAATTTTTCATTCCTTCTTCAGTTGGTCCCATTTGTTTTTGAATTTTAGTCTGTCGTAATACCTATCAATCAATTATTTAAACCTCTTCGTAATATTTTGCTAACCTTCCTTGTTAAAATACGTGGTTTGACTATTTTCAAATTTTATTTCTTTAATACATAAATCGCTAAAATTTTTTGTTACTTCTTTATCCGATATAGCAGGCGGACTCATTTCATTCGCCTTAGACATGTTGACACTATAAGGAACAAAATATAAGTACCAAGTAAATAATGTAAGTCAACAAAAAATTTATAAACATAATGCAAATTTCTCAGCATACAAACTATATGAGAAAGTTGTACTAAATTATGAGATGAGATAAAAAAACAAATCAAATTTATAAACATGATGCCAACTTCCTCCAAATTAATTCTACGACAATCATCAATTTACGAACAATGGAACGAGAACCTTAACAAAAAATAGTGAGACGGGTACAGCTGCAGCATGGAAGTGCTCCTTTATTAGTACGTTATACTAAAAAATAGCTCATGAATACAATTCACCAGCATACTACACAACCTCATCAATATAGACACAGGAACTCATAAGAGGAACTCATAAGTTTCATGTCATAAGTTTCATGCAATGAAAACAATTTTTTCCCTGTTAATGTTCGAACATTGATAAAGCAAATATCTTGCTTGGACCTTCATAATGTAAACATTCCCGTGTAAACTAATGAAAAAAATTTCATAAATCTATGCACAACTGCTAGAGAAGAGGGACCCTCATGCCACAGATCTTAGGAACCCTCATATATCACAGAAAAATTTAAAAAAATATATATTATGTGCATCTCCACCTCCCAAAAAAATCAGCACAAATGATAAAAATTAGCTTGCTTGGAACTCCACCTCCAAAATAAAGATGCAGAAAAATCGGAGTAACCCTCAAGTCACAGATATAAGCTAGGATATACCCCAAAACCATTCATTCATATATCACACCAAAAGTTTAAAAAAATATATTGTTTGCATCTCCAACTCCCAAAAAACCCAACATAAAAGAGGAACTTTCCAAGGATTGTAGGGGAACACATACCAAACGAATCAGAAAGGATTTTCGAAATGCTAGGGCTCGCGGGAAGGAAGAAGAGGGATATCGGTTGTACCTTGCGCCGATCTCAGTCGAAGCAAAGAGCAGAGTAGGATCAGCGAGAGAGAGGCGAGGTGTGTTTCTCCTGGGCGACGATCTCTTTGAAAGGGTGAGCAGAGGAGATCAATTCTCCTGGAAAGGGCGAGCCGAGGGAGATCTGTGAGGCGAGGCGAAAGAGCAGAGAAGAACTGCAATTCTCCAAGGGCGAGGGCGTGCGAGCCGAGGCGAAGGAGCAGAGGAGATATGCGATTCTCCAAGGGCGACGATGAGCGAGAAAGAGGCACCATAGGAATTCTTCCCTAATCGCAAAATTCATACGCGGGACGAGGGGGCAGTCTGGCTTGCGAAGCGATGAAGGAAATCGTGATAATAAAACGCCACGACACAAAAAATTTACATCGATTGCGATATTCAAATGAGAAGGCAGCGTTTTCACAACGCCGTCGCACCCTATAAGCTGCCCCAAACGGGCACTGAATGTCAAGTTTTCATTCAATTCTAATAAATTAAGATCATTTTTTATAAGGAATGCCCAAGTCTTTTAGGCCTACATCTACCATTCTTAACATAAGTTAAATCTAAAACATCTACTCTCTTAAGAGGTGGAGCCCAATCCAATAAATAAAAAAGAGAAAACTGGTCCAGCCTCCATTTCGCGAATCGAAGCATCCCTCTCACCTCTTCTTGCTAAGTTCCTTAATGACCTTCTAAAGTGCTTTTAAGATTGATGCATTATAAAAGGAAGTGCAGGAAGTTAGTTGCTAATCCAAAAATTCATTCCTCTGCTAATTCTTAGGCTAGATGCCCGCGTGACATCAAAGAAAAGAAAATCTCAATTCTGCTCCTTTCGTATTACTGCTTATTCTCTCCGGTTTCAGGTTTCGAGATTTCCTTTTCTGGTGTGACCGAACTCCAAGCACAACAAGAATTGTAAGGCTTCGTTCTTCTCCATTTATATTTTTAATTCTCCCTCAGTGGCTCATAGAGAGAGGAGGAGAGAGAAGTGTGTGTGAGAGAGAGAGAGAGGAGGAGAAGTTCTTCTTATAATTGTCGACGTAATCAACGATAGCATAAATTCCTAAAATAATAAAATCCTCTACAACTCCGTGGAAGTAGACAATTTGCCGAACCACGTAAATCTGGGTATTCTTTTCTAGTGTGAATTTTCTCGTTTAATTTTTTGATTCGTCGTCGATTGTTTAATTTAATACATACCACAACATACTCTCCTAACAGAGTCATTAAATGGTCGACGTTTAAAGTGTCCAAACCATCTAATGTGGTTCTTTACAATCATGTCGGCCACTAGAGCCTTTTTAACCCTTTCACCGATATACTTGTCTCATATTTTATCTCGAAGTGTAAAGTCACTCATCAACCTGAGCATTCTCATCTCGACAACAATCAACTTAACTTTATGTTTCTCTTTACGAGCCAACATGTTGTGCTATAAAGTATTGTAGGTCTCACCGACATCTTATGGGATCAATGAAACATTGATGGCAATTGATTGAGGTGAAATTAATAGACTCAGATTTGATGGAGAAAGATTTTTTTTCGCAGAAGTTAAGTGAGCAAGAGGTCTGAAGGAGGTCAATATTGACAAAAGCTTTGAATCCTACAACTCGTAACTCTAAGTACAATCGCAACTCTTGCAACTCACTTCAATTTCATAAGTGTGTATTAAGCTAAGAATCCTACAATTCTTGTAATTCTCAAGTACAATCACAACTTTCGCAACTC